AATTGCAACTAACTTGTCAGTCTACCACTGCCCCCTAACCTTTCAAAGAGCGTACGACAGTTTTGTTGGCTGACACAGCACAAAATGTGTCTCTTCTGAGACAATAGAGAGTGGCCAGTCGAGAGATGAGGTTTCTTTAGGTATTTTTAATTATTCAGTAAAACCATATGTAACTGCCACTTGGCCATTTGGAATTATTACATGATCAGGAAGTGACTACATTATTGGGATCTACAGGGAGCTAGCAGAATAAGTGGCCATGTTACTGTCTTACCAGTGAGTTGGTCTTAAATAATAATAATAATTAATAATAAACCCAAATCACTTCTCCTCTCCTGAAAACATTTATGACTTGCTAACATATATATGAGGCGAGAACGACCGTGACAGTTTCATGGGATCGCGCCAGTTACACAAAAACCGTTGCCATGGTTACCTCGCAGAGCGCTTGTTTGCCTGTCTGTTGATGTGGAGCGCAGAGCGACTCCGCAGATCAAAACAGTCTGAAAAGGCCTTATATAAATCCAGTCACAACCATTCACAAAAAATTATTTTATAACTTGCCAAAAACCTTAACATAAGGACATAAAGACTTAAAAAGCAACCATTCATACAGCAAAGTGTATATAGGCTATATGATTGATCAATCGACAACAAAGTCAAACATTAGACATATACCTATAACAAGCAATAAGTTCAAGTTCATTTCATTTATATAGCACGTTTTATAGCAGCCACTGACTGACCACAGTGCTTTACAGAACTACAAAATTAAAAGACAATAATACCATGCATAACAGCACAGCATAGAAAAGTACAGCAAAGTTAAGAACAGCTTTAAACAGGAATAGCCAAAGCAGTATCAGACTCGTCAACAATAACAATAAAAAACAGAAATGCCAGTATCAGACTTAGAAAAAACAGCATCATACTCCAAGGAGAGAAAAATTAACAAAAAAGAAAATTTATATATATATATATATATATATACATACACAGTGGGTACGGAAAGTATTCAGACCCCTTTAAATTTTTCACTCTTTGTTTCATTGCAGCCATTTTCCAAAAATCAAAAAAGTTCATTTTATTTCTCAGTAATGTACACTCAGCACCCCATCTTGACAGAAATGTAGAAATTTTAGCAAATTTATTAGAAAAGAAAAACTGAAATATCACATGGTCATAAGTATTCAGACCCTTTGCCGTGACACTCATATTTAACTCTATTTCTTCTGATCCTTGAGATGGTTCTACTCCTTCATTTGAGTCCAGCTGTGTTTGATTATACTGATTGGACTTGATTAGGGAAGCCACACACCTGTCTATATAAGACCTTACAGCTCACAGTGCATGTCAGAGCAAATGAGAATCATGAGGTCAAAGGAACTGCCTGAAGAGCTCAGAGACAGAATTGTGGCAAGGCACAGATCTGGCCAAGGTTACAAAAAAATTTCTGCTGCACTTAAGGTTCCTAAGAGCACATTGGCCTCCATAATCCTCAAATGGAAGACGTTTGGGATGACCAGAACCCTTCCTAGAGCTGGCCATCCGGCCAAACTGAGCTATCGGGGGAGAAGAGCCTTGGTGAGAGAGGTAAAGAAGAACCCAAAGGTCACTGTGGCTGAGCTCCAGAGATGCAGTCGGGAGATGGGAGAAAGTTGTAGTAAGTCAACCATCACTGCAGCAATCCACCAGTCGGGGCTTTATGGCAGAGTGGCCCGACGGAAGCCTCTCCTCAGTGCAAGACACATGAAAGCCCGCATGGAGTTTGCTAAAAAACACCTGAAGGACTCCAAGATGGTGATAAATAAGATCCTCTGGTCTGATAAGACCAAGATAGAACTTTTTGGCCTTAATTCTAAGCCGTATGTGTGGAGAAAACCAGGCACTGCTCATCACCTGTCCAATACAGTCTCAACAGTGAAGCATGGTGGTGGCAGCATCATGCTGTGGGGGTGTTTTTCAGCTGCAGGGACAGGACGACTGGTTGCAATCGAGGGAAAGATGAATGCGGCCAAGTACAGGGATATCCTGGACGAAAACCTTTTCCAGAGTGCTCTGGACCTCAGACTGGGCCGAAGGTTTACCTTCCAACAAGACAATGACCCTAAGCACACCGCTAAAATAACGAAGGAGTGGCTTCACAACAACTCCGTGGCTGTTCTTGAATGGCCCAGCCAGAGCCCTGACTTAAACCCAATTGAGCATCTCTGGAGAGACCTGAAAATGGCTGTCCACCAACGTTTACCATCCAACCTGACAGAACTGGAGAGGATCTGCAAGGAGGAATGGCAGAGGATACCCAAATCCAGATGTGAAAAACTTGTTGCATCTTTCCCAAAACACCTCATGGCTGTATTAGAGCAAAAGGGTGCTTCTACTAAATACTGAGCAAAGGGTCTGAATACTTATGACCATGTGATATTTCAGTTTTTCTTTTTTAATAAATTTGCAAAAATTTCTACATTTCTGTTTTTTTCTGTCAAGATGGGGTGCTGAGTGTACATTACTGAGAAATAAAATGAACTTTTTTGATTTTTGGAAAATGGCTGCAATGAAACAAAGAGTGAAAAATTTAAAGGGGTCTGAATACTTTCCGTACCCACTGTATATGTATAAATAAACAACCTTATTTATAGGCCAAAGAATACAAGTGCGTTTTTAAAAGTGACTTAAAAGAAATCACAGAAGGGGCTATCCTAACTTCTGTGGGCAAATTGTTCCACAGGCGAGGCCCAACCACAGAAAATGCTCGATCCCCTCTGCGTTTAAGTCTGCAGTGAGGGACTAATAACAGATACTTTTCACCTGATCTCAGACTTCTCGATGGAGTATATGGTTGAAGCAGTTCAGATAGGTAGCACGGTGCTTGGTTGCATAGAGATTTGTATACAAATAACAGGATTTTAAAATCAATTCTGAAATTAATGGGCAACCAATGAAGAGACCTCAGAATTGGGGTGATATGGTCACTTTTCAATAATAAAATCATACCCAATTTATTCGATGCTTATTGTCAACTCAGTGTTGGGCAAGTTACTCAGAAATAATAAAGCTATTATCTAGTTACTTAGCATATAGGCTACTCCTTAAAAGAGTAATATTAGCTACTCTAGCCTACTTATTTACAACGGACGACAATGTCTATGAAGATTCTCAGTCATCCAGGTCATAGTTATCCAACGAAGGTTAAAATGAAGGGCAACTGGACTTGGTTGAAGCTACTGGAAGACTGATGGACACAAACACGTATGAGACACTGAGACGAGACCCAACCAGCGGATACAAGAAAAAGGCCATAGAATGTCTACAACAGTTACAGAAGGACAACACCATCACCCGTGAATAATATTACCGTTTGTATCCTGGAGAAGCCATTCCATGTATTTATGGACTACCCAAGATACACAAAGAAGGAGCCCCACTCAGGCCGATAATCAGCAGCATTAACTCGGTCACCTACAACATTGCCAAACACATTTCCACCATCTTAGCTCCATTGGTGGGAAACACGCCTCACCACATCCAAAACTCTATTGACTTTGTAAACAAAGTTCGAGGACTAAAACTGGATCCAGATGAAACCATGGTATCCTATGACGTGACTTCTTTGTTCACCTGCATCCCCACCATAGAGGCAGTAGAAACCGTTAGGAAACGGCTAACACAAGACAACACCCTGGACAACAGAACTAGCCTCAGCCCTGACCAGATCTGCAAATTACTCGACCTCTGTCTAAACACCACCTATTTCCAGTACAACGGTGGATTCTACAGACAGAAGCATGGCTGTGCCATGGGCTCACCGGTATCCCCAATTGTGGCCAACATCTACATGGAAGAAGTGGAGAATGAAGCCCTCAACTCCTTCAGAGGAACAGCACCGAGCCACTGGTACAGATATGTGGACGACACCTGGGTCAAAATCAAAAGCCAGGAAGTGCAAGCCTTCACAGAACACATCAACTCTGTGGACAGTAACATCAGGTTCACACGAGAAGATGTTCACAACAACAGTTTGGCCTTCCTGGACTGCGCTGTACACATTGAAGAGGACCGGAGCCTGCAGATTGGTGTTTACAGAAAACCCACACACACAGACCAATACCTACTGTTCGATTCCCACCACCCACTGGAGCACAAGCTAGGGGTCATGAGAACACTGCACCACAGAGCGGAAAACATACCAACAAGCGCCCAAGCCAGAGAGAAGGAACAGAACCACCTGAAGGGGGCACTTACAGCCTGTGGATACCCTAAATGGACCTTTGTGAAGACAGCCACAAAATCCAAGAAGAACAAAACTACAGGGGAGGAGGAAAAGAAGGTCAAACGCAACAACATTGTGATTCCATACATGTCTGGAGTATCAGAGAAACTCAGGAGGATTTTTAACAAACATAACATCCCTGTGTTTTTTAAACCCAAGAACACACTAAGACAGATGCTGGTACACCCCAAAGACCGCACACCCAAACACAAGAAAAGCAATCTAGTGTATGCGGTCCAATGCAGTGAGGAATGCACAGACCTGTATATTGGGGAGACTAAACAACCACTACACAAACGCATGGCTCAACACAGAAGGGCCAACTCCTCAGGTCAAGACTCTGCTGTCTACTTACATCTGAAGGACAGAGGACACTCGTTTGAGGACCACCAGGTGCACATTTTAGACAGAGAAGATGGATGGTTTGAAAGAGGTGTCAAGGAAGCATCTACACCAGGGTTGAGAAGCCGTCATTGAACAGGGGAGGGGGTCTACGCCACCACTTATCCCCCACTTACAATGCTGTCCTTTCATCACTTCCCAGGAAACTCAACAAACGTAACCTATTGGCCTCAGGTGAAGATACCAACGATGGTCGTTTAGTCTTGGCCACAGGTAGTCTTAACGACTGTAACGACTGTCGTCACAGCAACAAGGAACACTAACGAACCAGCGGTATCGATGACCCGGGATAACGACCCCACTGAGGTTAAATAGCTGAGTTTCCCTGCCAGTCAGTCAGAACTGAAGAAGTCCTTTGGATAAGGGACGAAACGTCTTCCAGTAGCTTCAACCAAGTCCAGTTGCCCTTCATTTTAACCTTCGTTGGATAACGGACGACAATGTTCTTTGCATCGTAGACTGACACAATAACGGCAACAATGTTACTTAGAGCTGTCGAAAATACCTCTCCTCCCTGTTCTCCCGTCTTCCTTTTTGGCTAATAGCGGATAAGGTCCGATGCCGCTGAGCTGCAGCGCATTCACGTCAGGGATGGTCCATACAGTATGGCAGCCTTAATATGATTAATAACTGTAATAACATTACTGTTTTGGAAATAGTAATCCGTCACACTATTCTTTACTGGGAAAAGTAATATTACAGTATTACTGCCCAACATATTACTGCTAATGCTGTGTTTATTAGTGAAGGAGCGCTAACCATGATGTTAATCCAGCACAGTCACATTATAAACAGGTGGTTGTAATGAGGGTAATGAGGAGGAGAGTAGGAGGAAAGAGCTAGCTTAGCTTAAAAAAAATAAAATTAATTGATGCTGTGTGAATGCTTGTCAGTACGGCTTCTCTCCAGTGTGAACACGTTGGTGTTTTTTTAGCTCACTTGATGTAGTGAAAGTCTTCCCACAGTGTTCACACCAGTACGGCTTCTCTCCAGTGTGAACACGCAGGTGGGCTTTTAGGTTACTTGATGAAATGAATGCTTTTTCACACTGGTCACAGCTGTAAGGTTTCTCACCAGTGTGAACACGTTGGTGGCTTTTCAGATGACCTGATTGAGTGAAAGTTTTTCCACACTGGTCACAGCTGTAAGGTTTCTCTCCAGTGTGAATACGCAGATGGATTTTTAGGTGACCTGATTGAGTGAAAGTTTTTCCACACTGTTCACACCAGTGGGGTTTCTCACCAGTGTGAACACGTTGGTGTTTTTTTAGGACACCTGAATGAGCAAAAGTTTTTCCACACTGGTCACAGCTGTACGGTTTCTCTCCAGTGTGAACACGTTGGTGGCCTTTTAGTTCACCTGCTGAAGTGAAGGTTTTTCCACACTGGTCACAGCTGTACGGTTTCTCTCCAGTGTGAACACGTTGGTGGCTTTTTAGTTCACCTGATGAAGCGAAGGTTTTTCCACACTGGTCACACCAGTATGGTTTCTCTCCAGTGTGAATACGCAGATGGATTTTTAGGTGACCTAATTGAGTGAAAGTTTTTCCACACTGTTCACACCAGTGTGGTTTCTCTCCAGTGTGAACACGTTGGTGGATTTTTAATTGATCGGACCTACTGAAAGTTTTTCCGCATTGTTCACACCAGTACGGCTTCTCTCCAGTGTGAACACGCATGTGGTTTTGTAACTTATCAGACTTACTGAAAGTTTTCCCACATTGTTCACACCAGTGAGGTTTAACTCCAGTGTGAACAGCCCGGTGGACTTTTAGTGTACTTGAATGATTGAAAGCTTTCCCACACTGGTCACAGCTGTAAGGTTTCTCTCCAGTGTGAATATGTTGGTGGATTCTTAGGTGGCCCGCTGTAGTGAAAGCTTTCCTACACTGGTCACAGCTGTATGGTTTCTCTCCAGTGTGAACACGTTGGTGGACTTTTAGTGCACCTGGTGTAGTGAAAGTTTTCCCACACTGGTCACAGCTGTACAGTTTCTCTCCAGTGTGAACTCTCTGATGAATCTTTAAAGAGTCCAATCTTTTGAAGGATTTGTCACAGTGCCGACACCGGTGACGTCTGATTCCCTCTCTTCCGCCCGCTTCTATAGCAACAGACAGACATACAGAGAGAAAGACAGTAAGTATCTAATTTTTAAAAGTCTACCTGCCCTGTACTCTGCTGCAGCTGAACTTCTAAATCACTAAGCCTCACCTCCATGGCTACTAATAAACTACACTTGTAACACATAGCATTACGACTATAGGCGGCAGAGGAGTAACTGGACATCAAGGCAAGAGAGAGCAGGAGAGGGAGAAGCCATCGCTACCAGCCAAGCTAAAGTGCCGTATAGTTTATCTAGAACCATAACTGACATTTAGAACATGTCTGTTTGACATACTAATGTAATGCCTACTAACCCTTTCACGCATAGTGGTCACTACAGTGGACAGCTATTCAAAAGCCATTTTCTTGAATGGCCAGAGGTTCTGATAGTCTAGTTGCACATCAGCCACTACAGTGGACACTAGTGTGTCATGCCATACACTGCCACCATCTGGTAAGCCATTGTAAGTGCAACTTAAATTTGCAAGATGGCCGACAGACATTCGGGAACATTGAGCAGCTCAGGTAAATCTTGCCATTCCTCCAATTACAGGAGACCCCTGCAGGTAAATAAAATTTTGTAACATCTAGTAAAAACTATGGAGTAATACAATTGTAAAACTTTATAGTATTGATTTTATGTTGGAAATTACAATTAATCAGCTTGCCTTGCAGTGAATTTCTGAATGGGCGAGTAGAGGCTACTCGCTTTAACTGGATAATGTCTGCCGTTTCTCTGCTACTGTTCCTCTCTTTTCCACCGTTGTTTGCAAACCAATAAATTACAATCAGCAGTCAAATAGCACACAAGTCTCACCGCTGTCCGCTTCAGATCAATCATCAGCATTAAATACAAATAGTAGCCAGACTCGGTGTGTTTACAGCCAACAGCTAATGGAGTCCAGAGTTGTTGTTTTCATCAGTCAGGAGTTTTACAGTTTGTTTTTTCTTTGTTTTTTTTGTTTTTTTTACACACAGAGCCGAAGTCAGTCTCCTCCTCCAGGTAATTAAGCTCGTTAAACATCCCGTTCCTCCGACGCAGGCGGGCAGAAACGTGAGTGCTGCAGCTGATCTGTAGCTCTTGTCGCTGGAAATGTTTTAATAACCTACCAAACTGTCACAATTTTATTTGTGTAGGTTTCTCTGTGCTTGAGTTATTTTAAGAACTTAATGGCGTTATGTTAGAGTGTCTCTTCATTATACTCCCACACAAAAAAAGCTGCTTTAATGGTCAAGCACAGCCTATAGTTTGCCATTAAATTCCAATCAAATCTGATGTTCATTTATAAATTCTGCTCATGGATAGTGGTTACAAGTAGCCTAGGCCTAATGATGCCTGTGCATCTTCAGCTGGTTAATTTGCCTAATCTACTTTAAAGAACTCCTCCTAGGGATTTAGTCGGATCAACGTCAAATTTGTGCTGTGCCTTCTAAAGGCATTGACGATGAAAAGTTGTGCTATTTGCGAGTTTTCGTCAATGGGCGTGTCCGTGGCGTGGCGTCAAAGATCAACTCTTCGCCACGACACAGGAAGTTGTTGTTACTTCAGTGTATATGCTCACATCTGCACCAAAGTGTACATGTAGGATGAGAGTCCCGCCCTGAACACATGTACATGCTGACATTCACCCACAGTCATAGCGCCACCTGCTGGCAACAGAAAGTGACTTTTAACAAAGCAGCCCTCGCCGCACGTTTCACCTACGTGCACGAATTTTCTGTGGTACGTGTATCTTGTCCAGACGCACAAAAAAGCCTGGAGCGATACCCTAAAACCAACAGGAAGTCGGCCATTTTGAATTTTACGTCAAATTTTGGATGATTTACACACTTCGTACTTTAACAAACTCCTCCAAGGGATTTTGTCCGACCGACTTCAAATTTGTGCTGTGCCTTCTAAAGGCATTGAAGATGAAAAGTTGTGCTATTTGCGAGTTTTCGTCAATGGGTGTGTCCGTGGTGTGGCGTCAAAGATCAAGTCTTCGCCATGACACAGGAAGTTGTCGTAACTTCAGTGTACATGCTCACATCTGAACCAAACTTTACGTGCTTGATAACTGTCCCACCCTGAAGACATCTACACGCCAATACCGATTTATATTCATAGCAGCAAGTGCTATGTAGCTCCACATAGGGAACACAGGAAGTGACATATACAGTGAGGAAAATTAAAAAAATAAGTATTTGAACACCCTGCTATTTTGCAAGTTCTCCCACTTAGAAATCATGGAGGGGTCTGAAATTGTCATCGTAGGTGCACGTCCACTGTGAGAGACAATCTAAAAAAAAAAATTCCAGAAATCACAATGTATGATTTTTTAACTATTTATTTGTATGATACAGCTGCAAATAAGTATTTGAACACCTGAGAAAATCAATGTTAATATTTGGTACAGTAGCCTTTGTTTGCAATTACAGAGGTCAAATGTTTCCTGTAGTTTTTCACCAGGTTTGCACACACTGCAGGAGGGATTTTGGCCCACTCCTCCACACAGATCTTCTCTAGATCAGTCAGGTTTCTGGGCTGTCGCTGAGAAACACGGAGTTTGAGCTCCCTCCAAAGATTCTCTATTGGGATTAGGTCTGGAGACTGGCTAGGCCACGCCAGAACCTTGATATGCTTCTTACAGAGCCACTCCTTGGTTATCCTGGCTGTGTGCTTCGGGTCATTGTCATGTTGGAAGACCCGGCCTCGACCCATCTTCAATGCTCTAACTGAGGGAAGGAGGTTGTTCTCCAAAATCTGGCAATACATGGCCCCGGTCATCCTCTCCTTAATACAGTGCAGTCGCCCTGTCCCATGTGCAGAAAAACACCCCCAAAGCATGATGCTACAACCCCCATGCTTCACAGTAGGGATGGTGTTCTTGGGATGGTACTCATCATTCTTCTTCCTCCAAACACAGTTAGTGGAATTATGACCAAAAAGTTCTATTTTGGTCTCATCTGACCACATGACTTTCTCCCATGACTCCTCTGGATCATCCAAATGGTCATTGGCAAACTGAAGACGGGCCTTGACATGTGCTGGGTTAAGCAGGGGAACCTTCCGTGCCATGCGTGATTTCAAACCATGACGTCTTAGTGTATTACCAACAGTAACCTTGGAAACGGTGGCCCCAGCTCTTTTCAGGTCATTGACCAGCTCCTCCCGTGTAGTTCTGGGCTGATTTCTCACCTTTCTTAGGATCATTGAGACCCCACGAAGTGAGATCTTGCATGGAGCCCCGGTCCAAGGGAGACTGACAGTCATGTTTAGCTTCTTCCATTTTCTAATGATTGCTCCAACAGTGGACCTTTTTTCACCAAGCTGCTTGGCAATTTCTCCGTAGCCCTTTCCAGCCTAGCAGAGGTGGACAATTTTGTCTCTAGTGTCTTTGGACAGCTCTTTGGTCTTGGCCATGTTAGTAGTTGGATGGATTCTTACTGATTGTATAGGGTGGACAGGTGTCTTCATGCAGCTAACGACCTCAAACAGGTGCATCTAATTTAGGATAATAAATGGAGTGGAGGTGGACATTTTGAAGGCAGACTAACAGGTCTTTGAGAGTCAGAATTCTAGCTGATAGACAGGTGTTCAAATACTTATTTGCAGCTGTATCATACAAATAAATAGTTAAAAAATCATACATTGTGATTTCTGGATTTTTGTTTTAGATTATGTCTCTCACAGTGGACATGCACCTACAATTTCAGACCGCTCCATGATTTCTAAGTGGGAGAACTTGCAAAATAGCAGGGTGTTCAAATACTTATTTTCCTCACTGTAGCACCTTCATGCGGCGTCGGAACCTCGTAGCAAATTCACAGCCGCACCGGCAGAGCTCCAGAATGTGCAACTCGGCCGGCTTACACCCGGACGCGCTACAAGTGCGAGGGCCCGCCCAACGCCCAATGCAAGCATGTACACTGAAGTTACAACTTCCTGTTTCATGGCGAATCATCGACGCTACAGACATGTCCATTGACGAAAACTCGCAAATAGCACAACTTTTCATCGTCAATGCCTTTAGAAGGCACAGCAGAAATTTGATGTCGATCCGACTAAATCCGTAGGAGGAGTTCGTTAAAGTACGAAGTGTGTAAATCATCCAAAAATGGCCATAAAATTCAAAATGGCCGACTTTCTGTTGACTAGGGTATGGGTTCTTGAGGCTTTTTTGTGCGTCTTGATATGATACATGTGCCCAAAAAATTTCGTGCACTTTAACAAGTGTAAAGACAATAATACAAAAACAATACAAGATAAAAGCATGAAAACATTGAAAAGACTAAAATACAAATTTAAGATAAATATAAAATTAGTAAAATACAATAAAATAAAAGGGATAAAATAATGGTCTCGGTGTCCTTAAAAGTTAACATTGATCGAATTTTTGCTATATTTCTAAGTTGATAAAAACATGATTGAACAAGCTTTGTGGTGTGCTGCTCGAAATTTAAATTACTATCAAACCAAACACCAAGGCTCTTTGCCACAGGCTTAATGTGATTTACTAGGGAACCAGCAGATGGCAGTATTTGTTTTACCATCTGCTGGGACCCGATGACCAGGATTTCTGTTTTGTCCGAGTTCAGCTGGAGGAAATTACTTGACATCCATTTTTTAACTTCACAAAGGCAGTTGTTAAGTGAACTCAGCATTCCAGGGTCTGTGGATCTGACGGGCAAGTATATTTGTGTGTCATCAGCATAAATATGAAAAGAAATGCCATGTTTATGGATAATATGTCCAAGGGGAAGCAGATACAAGGAAAACATTAAAGTTGCAAGCAGCGTTGGGCGGGCCCTCGCACTTGTAGCACGTCCGCGTGTGAGCCGCGGCTGTGAATTTCCTACGCGGTTCCGACGCCGCATGAAGGTGTTATTCACTTCCTGTGTCCCCTATGTGGAGCTACATAGCACTTGCCGCTATGAATATAAATCGGTATTGACGTGTAGATGTCTGCGGGGTGGGAGAGTTATCAAGCACATAAAGTTTGTTTCAGATGTGAGCATGTACACCGAACAATAATGTACCCAAACAACAAAATAAATTCCTTTTATATTTCCCTGCCTTGTTGTTTATGTGTACATACAGAGGAAGAATGTGAGAACAGCACACATTTCATCGTTACTGTGTGTTAGAGCATGGGAGAACAGTGGATACTTTTAATACAGCCCACACCCCTAATACTGTGTAACTATAACAAGTAGAGAACAGAAGAAAAAGATGTTCTTTCTTTACAACTGTCTGCATAGCTTATTCATATTGTGTAATGAATGAAAATAAATAGGCCTACTAGGCTCCTCTCTACTTTGACATTTAAGATTAGCTTGTTTGATCCACCTTCATACACATGTGACATTACTGTACAACTTGAGAAAGGTGAGTTGTTTTCTGCTCCAGCCTGCCTAAAAGAAAAGCGTTTTGGGGATTAAATGGACTTTATTAGCTGCTGCAGTGCAGGATGAACTCAGAATAGACCCATTTCTCACCTTATTATTCTAAATCATGCAACGAAGAAGAAGAAATGCATAATAAATCCTGGGACAAAATCTGTCCACAAATACTGTACAGCATGTAGTCTAATGAACAAGACTTGTGTTATAGCTGACTTGGGCAGTGAAATGTTTTTTTAATTCATGTGGTCATAGTTGTCCACAGCTCAAATCAGAATATAAGAAGAAATGTTTTATACCACCTCAAGAAGGCTTCCTATCAGAAAGGTAGGAAGGTATTTCAAATGTACAACTGCAGTACTTAAATCTAAGTAAAGTAATTTCCCTGACATTTTTGTGTTACTTTACTTTTAATAGACGCATGTAACAGGTTTTATACTTCCTGTGAGTATAATCCAATCAATCTTATTTTCATACTGTATATCCGTTGTGTAATTTGATAAATTGTGTTGTATGTCGTGCTCGCATCTCAGAGAAGACTCTGACTGCAACATGCGTCTTTCTAAAGAGAGAAACAGACAGAAAAAGTCTAACTCTGCCTGTCAGCTCGCTCTGCTCCGTTAAAACTGAATTTACCATACAGAATTGAATACGAGTGCACTCCAGATTTAGCTGCAGCCAGCTGCCCGTGTGCTTCTCCCTATACCGCAGTTCTGTGTCCATGCATGCAGCAAACTGAAAGCACTGTCTGTCGGAGCGTCTATGTGAAAAGAGAAGGAAGACATTGCTGGTAGTATTGTCTTCAGAGTTGTTAAACACCTCAGTGCACTGAAGGAAGCCATCTGACTGTGTGAGGGGCAAGATCGTTGATGTCTGCAGGCAGAGTAGGAGCTCTCCTGTCTGACTGGTCCACCAATAGCAGAGAAGATGACCCCTTGAGACACAGCCCCTATTGCGGCGTATACCAGTAAAACAAACAGACCAGACCCACCAAAACAACTAAAACGCCACAGCAGGCTGAAACATGAGGATTTACACTGAAGACGCGTCACACTGAACCATCGTACATATTGAGTCTCTTTATTACGCTATTTCACATACATAGAAAACCAATCACTTACTTTGAGTGATGCATGTTGTAAGTAGTGCAAAAGGTACCTCAGAGACATCAGTGAAAGATGTTGACGACGATGGTAACGGTCAACAGAAAGTTCTTCCCCATGCTCACCCTGCAGCCATGATCAACCCAAGCTTCCTCACAGGTGAACACACACACACATTAATACAGACACCACGCCCCCGGTCACACCCACAGTAACTGATGACGTGACGATGCGCGTGCATGTACACTACAGTGCAAAGAAAAGAGAGGAAACCCAATAAAAACTCAAACAAACCCAGTGTATGGCTCCTACATTCCGGCCCCCAATTATTTTATAGTAATAATTGACCACCACTACAACCCTCTTGTGGGAGACAAACACCAGTTAGAAATGCAAAGTGAAATATTCCCTTAAAAGGTCCTGTTAATGCCAAAGTTCAAGTCTGCTATATCCAAGGATCTTCACTGCTCCTCTGCTTCCTGCAGAAGGCAGACTTTGGTTATTGGCCTTGTCAAATAGCTGGTTTTAGTTTTAATCCGTACACTTCGCACCAGTCCATTTTTGTCCGGAACAGTATCCACAATTCTTCCTATAATCCAAGCATTACGAGGTGCCATCTCATCCACTAGCACCACAAGATCTCCTGGGACAAAGTTTCTCTTGGCAGTATTCCACTTCTGGCGCTCCTGAAGTCCAGGAAGATATTCCTTCACCCAGCGCTTCCAGAACAAATCCGACATATACTGCACTTGTTTCCAGCGACGACGACTGTAAACATCCTCCTTCTCGAACAATCCTGGTGGCAACGAAGGTTGCAACTTAAGCAGAAGAAGATGGTTAGGAGTCAATGCCTCCAAGTCTTGAGGATCTGTTGATGCCTTTGTTAAAGGGCGGCTATTAACAATAGCTTCAGCCTCACAGAACACTGTCACCAAGCCTTCTTCATCCAGGGTCTGAGTCTTCAAAATAGAGTTTAGCACCTTACGGACTGACCGAATTAGCCTTTCCCAAGCACCTCCATGGTGGGATGCTGTTGGGGGATTAAAAACCCATTTCACATTCTTTTGTAACAGCATGTCATTGATGAGGTTCTGATTCAGATTCTCAATGGCGTTCCTCAATTCACGCTCAGCGCCCACAAAGTTAGTGCCATTATCCGAATGGATTTCCAAAACTTGACCACGTCTCGCCAAAAACCTTCTGAAACCATTAATGAAGGAGTCTGTGTCCAAAGAAGACAGAACTTCAAGATGTATGGCTCGCATCGCTAAGCACGTAAAAATTAGCCCATACCTCTTGACCACAGCTCTTCCACGTTTAACTTCAAATGGTCCAAAACAGTCCAAACCAACTCGACTGAAAGGAGGCTCATCAGGAGTTATTCTGTTGTAAGGAAGGTCAGCCATTTTCTGATGTCCAGGTGAAGCGGACAATCTACAACAGATGACACACTTGGCCAAAACCCTTCTGATGGCGGCGCAAGCACCAGGAATCCAATATTTCTGACGTAGGTGAGAAAGCATGTGGTTTCGTCCACCATGGCCTGTTACTTTGTGTACATGACAGAGAATAAGATTGGAGATGTGTTTATCTTTAGCCAGTATAACTGGATGTTTTGCTTCAACTGGCATAGCTGCTCTACTAAGCCGTCCTCCAACCCTAATGAGATCACCATCCAGGATCGGGTTGAGCTTGTAGAGGTGGCTCGTCCTCCTTACACACTCCTTTCTTCAAGTTGGCCAGTTCCTCCGGAAACATTGTTTTTTGACAAAAACAGATAATATTTGACTCCGCTACAACCATATCCTCCATAGACAGAAAATCCTTTGGCACTTGAGCCTTAAAACCTTTCATCTGGACCTGTAGCTCTTTTTCCACCTGCTCAGCACTTTGTTCCGATTCAGAAAGGGTTCCTCTCAGCAGCTTTCGATGTCGCACCAGAGACAGAAGTAAGGTCTTAAACTTGAGAAGCCAACCAACAGCCCTTTTAAGACGGAACCAGGAGGAAAAGTAATCAATGAGCCTCTCCACTGGACTGACCTGCTCAACCTGAGCCGCATTCACCACCACAGCCTTGACCTCCGGGTCTCCAATCAGAGTATTTTCCAAGGTCTCAGGATTTTGGGGCCAACTGCTCTCAGGCTCATGAAGGAAGTCAGGACCACGGAGCCATGCACCAGTCTTTAGAAATAACTGAACTTTAACGCCTCTGGAGGCTAGATCTGCAGGGTTGGCTAACGTATTCACGTACCTCCATTGGGATACATTAGATATTTTCAATATTTCAGACACTCTGTTTGATACGAAGATTTTAAATCTGGACGTCTCGTTGTTTATGTATTTCAAAACAGAAGTGCTGTCTGTCCAAAAGACAGACTCTTGAAGGTCCATTTGCAACTCCTTCCTCCACAACTTGTCCATTCTGCTAGCCATCACCGCGGCAGTCAGCTCCATCCGAGGAATGGTGACAAGTTTTAAAGGAGCTACTCGTGCCTTTCCCATTATGAATACACTGTGAGTTCGCCCGCTATCATCATGGAGCAACAGGTAAGTCACAGTCCCAAACCCTTCCTCACTTGCGTCTGCAAAGTGATGAAGTTGAGCAGAGACAAGAAAACCAAAGTCCACAGGTTTTAAACATCTACTAACTTCCCAACTTTCAAGCTCATGAAGCTCTTCCAACCAAGCCGTCCATTCTCTAATCACTGAAGAGGGCAAAGGTTCGTCCCATCCCAAACGTCTCCTACAGAGGTCTTGAAGGATTTTCTTGGCAGACAAAACAACAGGTGCCAAGAAACCAAGAGGGTCATAGATCGAACTAGTCACAGACAAGATTCCTCTTCTTGTGAGTGGGTGTGTTTTAAGCGTAATTTTAAACTTGAATGAGTCAGATTGGACACACCACTGTACACCCAAAACATACTCTACAGGCAGAGCGTCACTATTTAAATCCAGATCTTTCACCTCCTTGGCGAGCTCATCCTGAGGAATAGTAGCGAGAACAGAGCGTCGGTTACTAACCCATTTTGTGAGCTTAAAACCACCTTCCGCACACAAGGCACTAAGCTCTCGACATAAAGAAACTGCTTCCTCTTCAGAGCCAACAGACACCAGACAATCATCAACGTAGAAATGGTGCAAGACCGTGTTAACTGCATTAGAACTGAAGCACTTTTGATTGTCTTCAGCACACTTCCTCAGGGCAAAACAGGCACAACTGGGAGAGGAAGTAGCACCAAACAGGTGTACCGTCATTCTATACTCCACCAGCTCCCGACTGCAATCTCCGTCAGGCCACCACAAGAATCTTAACAGATCAGAGTCTTCAGCCGGCACTCTGACCTGATGATACATGGCCTCAATATCTCCCATGAGCACTACAGGTTCTTTACGGAATCGTGTAAGCACTCCCACTAACAAGTTCGTGAGATCTGGTCCCTGAAGAAGCTGTGAGTTCAACGATGTCCCCTGAAACGTAACTCCACAATCAAAGACTACCCGCAGTTTCTTCTTCTTAGAATGATACACCCCATGATGAGGTATATACCATACCCTTCCATCACAACGGGTCAACTGCTCGGTTGGAACTCTCTCTGCATAGCCGTTAACCAACATCTCAGACATGAATGCATGTAATCGGAACGAAAAGATGGATCCTTATTCAAACGTCTTTTAAGACTCAATGCACGCTGTTGTGCCACTGTCTTATTGTTTGGCATTTTGAGGTGTCTTTGCTTCACCGGCAAACCAATACTATAATGACCATCAATGAGCTTAGTAGACTCTGAGACCAACTCAATGAAGCGCTTATCCTCCACTGACAGACCAGGTTGTTCATCCTGCAGAGTTTCAGGGAAATCTACCTTCAACTGCTTCTCCCAAAGCTCATCAAGCCTCGCCACCGAGATCCGATTGACTGTGATGTCAGGCTGCAAACATTGTTCACTGATATGACAATCTCCATGGAGCGGGCCATTCACCGTCCAACCCAAGATGGTCTTAATCGCATAAGGGCCCCCGTTCTCTGCACGAATCACCTCCCACGGCTCCAAAGCTTGAGGAACGTTAGTGCCAATCAGAAGATCCACATCAGAATTGATCTCTGGTATTTTTATGTGTCTTAGGTGCGGCCATCTTTGAAGGTCTTTTGAGCTTGGAATGTTACCTCGATGAACCGGCATGTTCTGCTGAGTAAAAATCTCAGACAGGCCACAGAAGTTGTTCGAGTCCAGCCCGGCGACTTCCAAGTCTGACAACTTGTAACTGTCTACCACTTTCTCTTGTCCCATAGTCCTAAGGAGAATTCCCAACTTCTTCCCTGTAAGATTGAGCCGAGTCATGAGTCGCTCTGTACAAAACGAGGCGGTACTCCCTGGGTCCAAAAACGCATATGTGACCAAGATCTCCTGACCCCTCTTAGATTTCACTTGAACAGGCAAGATAGAGAGCGTACAGTCCTGCTTACCGGCCCCAGTCAAGCCACTAGACTGAACAGACACCACAGCACCGTCTCTGGCCATATTCAAGCCACCATTGGCCTGAGTCGGACTCGTTGGTTTTGCTGTGGGGTAGATATGCAACAACGTGGGATGCTTATTATTGCATACTTTACATGTCATACGTTTTCGGCAGTCTTTACTCATGTGTCCGACGCACAGACATCCAAAACACATACGGTTCTCCTTCAAAAAGGAAATTTTCTCATCTTGTGTTCTTTTATCCAAACTAAAACAAACATCTAACAAATGCCCAGCCCCGCAAAACAAACAAACTTTCGCTAGTGAATTCTTCTCCCTTTTAAACCCAGGCTCCACCTTATTCTCAGCAGGTGCTACAGTAGTAGCGAAACTACTGCCTCTGGCTTTTGAACGAGGTTGAGACCGGACCATTTTTACTTCATTTCTTCCACTCGCAGATGTCTCTTGTATATTTCCAAAAAGAGGGTCACTCGCCATCTTGACTTGCCTCTCAACAAACTTCACAATATCTGAGAACATAGCTCTGCGATGAGACTTCTCATGAATATCGCAGGCCACACTTCTCCAATAATCTCTCAGCTTATAAGGCAGTTTTTTCACAATGATTTGCATATTCGTAGGTACGTTCAGATCACTTGCAGAAGCTCCCATAGAGTTGCAGCATTCCCGCAACAATAAACTGTAGGCCCGTAAAGCCTTGACATCTTCGGCCTTAAGCATCGGCCAGGAAAGCACCTTGTCCATATAGGCAGAAGCTACCTTAAATGGATCACCAAAATGCTCCTGAAGTAGTGATTTTGCCTTACTATAACCATGGGACGGAGGCAGATGTTGACAACTTCGGATCAAATCCCTGGGCTGACCTCTCGTATACTGTTCGAGGTAATACAAACAATCCGTCTGACTTTGCGTTCTTGCCTCAATGTTGTGTTCAAATCCTCTTATGAAGGTTTGATACTGCAGTGGATCTCCATCAAAAACTTGTAGATCTCGCTTAGGTAAGAGAAAAAGTGACTGTTGTCCAACCAATAAAGACGTGATTTGATTTTGCCTTTCTAAAACTGTGAGAAAACGCTGATCAGAATTATTCACGGTTACAGGTGCATCTCCATACAGAAAGTTAGTAATAGATGGATGAGAAACACCTTCTGGCAAAGTGTGCTGATCAACCCCAGTCACAGCAGCAGGCAGACTATGCAAAGTGGACTGACCGGCCGAGGTCACAACAGCAGGCAACTGGCTTTTGTTGTATGTCTTGGACCTCACAGAAGCATCACCTGGAAACGAAATTTCCCCTATCGCCTCTGCAGCCAATGGTTGAGTGTTGAATTCCGGCACAAATATTGGAGCTTCATGGCTCAACTGTGTACTTTTCCCTCTTTTCAAATAAGAGTTCATCCCATCTGATTTCACAGAAACATGAGACACGCAAGATCCTTCTGAAGCCTTGAACACACTCACTTTAGCCATAGACGCTTCCAGCTCCATGTCCATCTCCAGCACCTCCTGCTTTCTCCTCAACAGTTCCTGCTGTTCCTCCAGGGCATGCTTTTTACTCAGCAGCTTTTGACGAACCATAAGGGCAGCAGTCTCAGCCTCAGCTCTTATTCTGGCTGATGATGTAGTAGACAGAGGTTTACTCACTACTGTACTGAATCTCTTTGACCTCAATGACACATTGGAAACACTATCACTTGGCCTAACGTCATCTTCTGCATTTTCCACAGTTTTGACTATGCATGGCTCATTATCGCTGAAAACAGCAGATCCTAAACATGGTGCAACAA